CCGTCAAACGGAGTAAAGTCGATCGGCAGTGGTCCAGTCGATCAATCCGGTGTTTTCACTTGTTTTTAAGAATTATGGCAACAATGCATTACAAATCAGCTGGTTTGTATTTACGTTCGTGTGGCCAACATGTGGACATCCATTATACCGGTGGTGCTGGTTAATCGTGAAAGGTGAGTTTTCCAAAAATAATTAAGTAGTAAAAAAGTAACATTTCTCAACCTGTAAAATATGTGAAATCAAAGATTTGCATAGCCAATTCTGTAAAAACTAGGTCCGTCCGAGTGTTAAGGAATATGTTCATGAAAGGGTGTCCACAATCAGATATGAAAATTTTTTTTGTGCGGTTTCAAATGCAATTTTTTTGTGCTGAAATAAAACAACGGGGTGAAGTGGATCACTTGGTTTTCGCTGTATTTTGTGAGGCTGTGAGGTTATGTTTAAAGCAATTTGTTTTTGGGTGATTTTCTCATGTGAATTTCGTGTGCTAGCATATGAGGGGTGTCGGCAGGGGGGAACGAATCGTATGTTATTATTTTTTTCTTTATTTTTATAGATGCCACGAAAATACGTAAAGAAGCTGGGTGCTTATGGCAAAAGAAACTACGACCCCGCGTATTTACAGAGAGCGCTGGATGCAGTGCGTAAGGAAAGACTGAGCATGCGAAGAGCATCAGAAAGGTTTGCAGTGCCATATACGATACTAAACGATCATTTTCATGCGGCACATTCCTTGACATATGGTGGTCAACCTGCTCTTGATGAACATTCCGAAACATTGTTAGTGATTGCTTTGCAAACCTGTGCTGAGTAGGGTTTCCCATTAAAGCCCATTGATATTAGGCGAATCATGCAGCATTATTTAAATTAACGCTGCATCACTGAAAAGCGATTTACCAAGGATATGCCAGGAGAAGGCTGGTTTAACGGCCTGATGAAGAGACATCCCCGGCTTATAATCAAGCTTGCGGAGAATACAAAGCGAGTGAGAGCCGCTGTAACATAGGAGATTGTTGAAGAATATTTCCGAAATGTGGCGGAAATCATAAGGGATATCCCACCACAAAACGTTGTGAACTACGACGAGACAGACTTCATTGACGATCCCGGGGCTGTAAAAGTGGCAATGAAGAAAGGAAGCAAACACGCCTACAGGACACTTGACGCCACAAAAAGCAGCACAACATTTATGTTCGCAATAGCTACTAATGGAACTCGTCTCCCCTTTATACGGTGCACAAAGCTAAACACCTTTATGAAGGATGGAAGGAGGACGGATTACCAGGAGCAATGTACAACAGGCCTCCAAAGGGATGATTTGATTCTGAATTGTTTAATGATTGGTTCAGCCATATTTTCGAAAATTAGAAGGGACCAAGTTGCTTATTGGAGATAACTTGCAAAGTCACGTTACCATCAGTGCATGTTATTTAAGAGTGCGAAAACAACAATATTAAGTTTGTCTTACTCCCGCCCCCCAATTCAACCCACATGCTCCAGCCACTGGACGTGGCTTATTTTCGTCCACTTAAAGCATCAAGGAAAAGTACTAGAGGAATGGAAACTGAAAAATAGGGGGTTTTACCAAAAACTATATGTCCCAGGATGTTGATAACCGCAGTAGAGGTGCTTGGAAATCGCAAAATGAATAATATTTTAGCTGGATTTAAAGCATGCGGCCTAGTCCCCTTTCAATCCCGATGCTGTTCTTGCAAAGGTAAAAAGAAAGAAGCCTACTACACCGGAGACAGGAAACAAGGCAGAAACTTCAATGACTGCATTGCTTATATAGATTATCTACACCAGCTCAAGACTGGGCCAAATACAATTTGTATAAATGGAACGATATTTTCAGAAGTGGTGTAGCTCAGTGCTACACTTTCGATGCAAAGGAAAAGACCTATTGTTGCAACGCGGTGAAGAATGACTGAACAGTCGCCTCACGTGTCTTTTTTTCCACCGGTTTGTTGGAATCGTTGTTTTACCGATGCGGCCTTGAACGCCTTGTGTTGGATTCGATTTATTTATGGTTGACCGTTGAAATAAATAACAGTTGACATTTTGTAATAAAATTTGCGTTTATAATTTTATTTATATACTTTAATTTGAACGTATATAATTTTTAAAGCTCATTTTTTCAGTTTTTCCCACAATAAAATAATTAATTAACTAACTCCTTAATTCTGATTAATTCTCGCAATCCAGCTGTCAGTTGTCACATCTAATCGGAAAAACCGTATATTGAAATGATGGAATGGTGTTGCATCGATTGCAGCAACGTTGGATAAAAAGACAGCGCTGTTAGTTCATCACTGATAGATTGATGAAAAAAAAAAAAAAATCTGATGTGTCCAACACATGACTTTCCTATCTAGTTACTATAGGCTTTTTCTGGTTATTTTGTACAACCTATAAATGTTTAGAGGATAAACTAAATATATACATTTTCCACATACATCTAACTTGAAACATTTTTCTATAGATATTGATTAAAAACGAAAATAAAATAAAATCAGAATTTTGCACATTTTGTCAAATTTCTTGAATACGGACCATTTCAGGAAAATTTGACATAAAGCAAAAATTATAGATAATAATATTAGAAGTAAATTAGAAGTAAATTATAAAGAATTATATTACATTAATTTTTTTACATTTTGTCAAATTTCTCGAATACGGACCATTTTAGGAAAATTTTGTATGGAACAAAAAATATTGATAATAATAATGCAAGTAACTTTTATTTAAAGAATTTTCTTCTTCAAACGTAAATAAACAGATATATTCCCAGATGTTCCGACTCTGCCCAAAATCTAATCAGTTCATTGGACGCCGGAATAAAGTTTAAGTAAAAAATTTGGTGTTTTTCTTCGTATCGGTTCATGAGTTATGGTGGATACAGACACACAAACACGCTCGCGCGCTCACACACACACACGCACACACACACACACACACACACGCACACACACACACAAACACACACAAACACACACAAACACAAACACACACACACACACACACACAAACACACACACACACAAACACACACACACACACAAACACACACACAAACACACAAACACACACACACACACATACACACACATACACACACATACACACACACACGCACGCACGCACGCACGCACGCACGCACGCACGCACGCGCGCGCGCACACACACACACACACACACACACACACACACACACAACATCCCGAAAATAGTCAAAACGGATTCAGGGGGACCCCAAAACGTAAAAATCCTTCGAAAACTGGAGGTCGAAAAAAATCTTACTGCGACTCAGCACTGGCAGGTGTTCAGACGTAGAAACTATTGTATTATGGATACGCTGCCATTCGAGGCATTGTTTACCGCGTTCCAACTCAACATCGAGCGTTTTTATGCCCCCGTCGCCCTCTGACTTATTTAATTTTGTTCATATATTAAAAAATATCGCACTAAAAAGGAACATTTCTGTACAGCCAACATCAGTAAGCCGCAGCAAAATTAGATGTGGTTTATCATGCGGTGCAAAGCGCATTCAAGAAAGGGAGACCAACCAAGAAGTAGATACCAAACAACCTTAAAAGACAAAGATCTTGAAAGAAAAATATTGATCTTAATAGACCAAATGCGAAATCACATGGAAATGCCCACTAGGATTAAACTTCGTATGCTTATCATTTTATAAGTTTTTTTTTTAATAAATATAATTGTAATATGACTAGTGGACTTTGTATTTATTGTGTTTTTTGTATTTTAGTGTGGTTTAATAAACTATTTTTGACGATAGTATATTATTATTATTATATATTTTTATGATATAGTCCTACAAAATCACAAAAGAAAGCAAATTTGCATGGTTTCGACTGCAACGCGGTAAACAATGCCTTGATAATGGCAGGCGTATCCATAATACATTAGTTACTACTTCTGAACACCTGCTAGTGCTGAGTTGCAGTAAGATTTGTCTAGGTATGGAGAGCGACTGTTCAGTAATTCTTTCTGGCGTTGCAACAACATGTATGTGTTGTAGCATAGTAAACAATGCCAATTCGCACCCCGGACCTTGGGGTGAAGTCGATCACTCTTTATTTCAAAATAAAAAAACGCTGCTTCATCTACGGCCTTGCTCCAGTTACCAGTCGACGACTTATGCATCAAGGAAGTTATATTTTTGATTTCATCAAAATTCAATTGTTAGTTTTTCCGTAATCTCAAAAAACGTATTTTTTTGATCGACTTCACCCCGTTGGGCGGTACTGGAAAAATCTAAATAGCTTATTGGTTAGGGCTTAGAGTTTAGGGTTTAGGGAAATTATAACGGTTTTCACTGAAATACCATCTTTATTATTTTCAACTCAATTATCGCTTCTTTGAAATAGAGTGTATCCAACCCCGTATCTGGGAGTTTAGAAGAATTCTGTTTTACTCGGTGATGCGAAACAGCAAAACTTACATTTGTTAGGTATAGGTAGTGCCTTAATTAGAGGCAACACCTGATGGAGAACTATTTTTTGTCTCTTTTTCAGACTTCTCACGTCCTTTGCACTGCCTTAATGCGTATTCTTTCCCTTCTTCTTAATGGACATACTGGTTTCTTCTTAGCTCGTATGAGATGGAATATCACTTATCCTTCTACCTGTAAGTCTTCTGCCATGAGATGTTTTTTCTGGTTATATTGACTAAACCTGCCATCCGATTGCGCTTCCTGATGCAGCAGGCAAATATCGAAATTATAGTAGATACGTTTCTCCAGAGGGCGTTAATAGGTTATTTATGTAAAAAATACAGTTAGTACATTCTCATAAAGTATTTTTCTAGGTGTAACATTTCTGGTAAGATAATATTCGTTTCACCAAGTGAATTTATATCGTCCAGTTGTTAAATAGGTCAATATTATATTTCTGAGAGGTAAAAAATGGTATGTTAGCATTTGTATAAATAGGCCTTTCATATTACTTTTATGACAGTATTAATCCTTTTAGAACTAAAGAAACAAAAATGAAAATTTGTGTGAGTATATTTTTATTGTATAGATAAATAGTATCAAAGAAAACTGTTTTTTCCCGCTAAGCACATTTGGTGCACAAAATTGCATTTCTATATAACATTTTTTCTACAATCATTAAAGAAACTACCTTTTTAAATAATTCGCATACGTAAAATATGTAGCTGTTGAACTATGTAAAAAAGTGACATTAGAGTGAGCCAAAGTACTTTATTTAAGCCAGTTCTCATTTCTAATAGTTTCCGCTAGAGGCTCTTGAGTAAAATATACATTTTTTTCAGCTATTCCATGACCGGTTTCATTATTTTAGTAAAAATAAAAGGTGATATGTTGAAAGAGAAGGGAACGCGGCTAAGTTCACAAATTTTATTATGTTGAAAACGTAAATATTTTCTACTAGATTTTCTTATAGGTAAAAAGTAATCTGTGTCTTTCAAGTCAATAGACGGTAAATAACTTTTATTACCTGTTATAAAAAATATTCGCCTTTTTTTGTGATACACAACTTGATAAGCTCCTTTTTCTAATTTTTCGATTTATGTATTGTATAAGCTTCTCACATTTTTATTAATTACTACCTGTGGTATCGTTAATTGTTAAGTGGTTTTGCTAAATTTTGTTTTTATACCATTAATACAACTTGGGATAACTTTACTGTCTGTAAGGCGTTCCCAACAAGGCAGAAATCTTTTTAGACGTTTCTAGCTCTTGAGATTGCTTCGTTTGTTTTCTTGGTATCTGATAAATTCATTCCGAAAGAATCTATTTTTGAGAAGAGTTATGGCAGTCCAGGCTACTTATTAAGGAGTATTGGACAAAGAAAACTCGCTGATAAAGCTAAACAGAAATAGCATCTGGATGATATTAGGACTCATAAAAAATCATAAATATCTATAACAAACATCTGAAAACTATTGACGAGAGCGATACTGTAAGGTTTAGACTATGGAAAGAATGTGATGAAGATGCTATAGTGTTTCTAGACTCAATTCAATACAGGCTTTTGTACCGGGATTGCGTAATAATTCGCGTTACATGCCATGCGAATGCTACAAATTCTATACCCTCACATTGCAAATAAGCGTGAACCGTCTTGGTATAGCCTCTGATGTGGCACACTTAAGTCTTAAACATATACGCACCTACAGTTGATGTTAAGTCCACAAGTGAGCGGCCAGAATTGCTGGCTCGCCTGGCTGCTTTAGTTATTTTATCTTTGTTCAGTAGCGTGCACGGTTTGAAAAATTTTCCTGAAGCGTTTGTTAAACTTGTTTTTATTTTTCGGTGTTTCTGTTAAATTTTGATTTGTGTATACGAGATGCTTTCTGGAGATCTTTTGAGGTAGATGTAGATGCTAGAGTCATAATTTTACATGCCGGAAATGAAAATGGCTATGTAGCAAACGCTTCACTACTTTCAGCAAAATATGTCAATAAAGGTCTGCTGGATTATCATGAAGATATGAATGCAGCAGTTTTTAGGAACTGGTTTGCTGAACAATTTTTACCGAATATTCCACCTAATTCAGTCATTGTAATGAACAATGCGCCATATCATTCCCGGCAAATTCACAAGAAGCCAAGTAGTATAAATTTATAAAATGAGGTATCTACGCCTGTGACAGATCAAACAAAATTGTCGGTAATAGTTCGGAACGAGTTTAATGGAAGAACTATTCACAATTATTAATTTAATTTATTTAATTTTAATAAACGCCCATGTGCGCGGTCCCTTTGAAGTCGGTACTAATCGGTTATTCTGCCGTGTTGGATTGTGTCTAGAAAGACTATACCCACATTATCAATGCAAATGCCTGATGTTAAAGCAGTACCACTTAGGTGCAGCGTATTTGACACCCCAGAATATTAAAGATGTCTTAATAGAACCAGTGCTAAAATTTTGCAAGGAGAACATATTTATTTTGACTTTAAATTAGACATGTCGCATGCGCTGCGGTTAATGATTTATATGCTGAGTTCGAGTGGGATACTCGGAGTAGAGTTAGAGCAGGAATACATTTTGGTCACATTAAAAGTTAAAAGATATCGTATTAATTTGAACGCTATTTTTGTTTAAGAAATAATAATAGACATAACCTTATATAAATCTATTAATCTTATTTTTGAGTTTGCAACGAAAATAAATTATTTAATGTGGATTACAATATTTGCAGTAGAAAATAATTTTTTACAATGATACAGGAAAATATTTATAATTTTGCCGAAAACAAATTACCCATTATAAATATAATAATCAATTTGTATTTAATTTTCGTCTGAAACCAGTAACTTTTGATATTCTGTTTAAGCAAACCGGACCTCTCGCGAAAGCAAAAATGTTGTGAGGATTCTTTAATATAAAAGTTTATCTATAAGCGCGCCATTGGGCTTACTTCGCAATGTTATGTGCCTCGAGAATATTGAGAGCTTTAAATTTATACAATGATAAGGCTGCACTCTACAGAGACATTTAAAAACTACTAGATATTTATTAAACCAAAAAGCAGCAAATTTTCATAGATTTAATACAGAGAGGCGCGTAATTTGCTAGAATTTGCTCACCATGTAACTCTACAAATAATAGCTAAAATTCCGTAAATTTGTCATTTATTGGTCTTATACTTTTTGTTAAACGTTTACATATTTATATTTTTTTTTTCAGCTAATTTCCATCTTTTTAATATCGTTAACTAATACAGTCAGATGTGGTTACTTAACTGGCCACCACCCTCTCCCTCCTAATGTAATAAGTTCTCGAACTATCATAGGTGGCGCTGTAGGGGGACCCCCTTCAGGCGCTTATTCGTCCTCCCAATTAACACAAACCGTATCTACGTCACCTACACAAGTTCAATCATCCATTTCTACCCATCATCCATCCCAACATGGCTACAACAGAGGAAATCAAGGACCCGGTTACATTCAAGTTTCTAGATACAATCAAGGTCAATTTAGTAATCAAGGTGAGTCATAATTTATTTAAATAGTGAGATGAAGACGTAATCCCTTGGGACGGTGTTGGTCGAGAGATAATCTTTATTGGACCAGGATCAGGCAGGATCAGTTAGATGGAAATTTGTAAAATATTTGTTTATATTATGATGAACCTGGGATAATAAGCTGATAGAACGTGTACTGGGAGAATAAAGTTAATATAAACATTAGGGTGGCCCAAAAAAGCAAATATTTTTTTATTTTAAGTCTCCTATCAAAATATGTTAGTTTATCATGTTTTAAGATCCCCTCCAAAGGAGAGCTCAAAAAAAATTTTTAAAGGGTCGCTCCGAATTTTTAAAAAAATCCAAAATCGTCGAAAACCGGATTTTTATTTTGTTTTAATTTTTTTTCTCATTATTTCATTTTTTTCTATAAGAAAAATTATAAAGATCCTAAAAATTTCAAGTCGAAATTTTAATATTGAATGGTCACTCCGAATTTTTCTAAGGTTCCAAGTCGAGTACTTTATACCTCTTTGAGCTACTTTTGAACATGAATATTAACGAACTTTATATTTTTTTACTTTAATTTTACATACTAAAGAATGAAATTAAAGCACGAGAAACGAAAAAAAAAGTTTAATGAAAACAAAAAATATAAAGTTCGTTAATATTCATGTTCAAAAGTAGCTCGATTTGAAACTTTAGAAAAATTCGGAGCGACCTTTTAATATTAAAATTTCGACTTGAAATTTTCAGGATCTTTATGATTTTTCTAATTATAGAAAAAAATAAAATAATGACAAAAAAAATTTAAAAATTCGGAGCGACCCTTTAAAAAATTTCTTTTGAGCTGTCCTTTGGAGGGGGCCTCTTAAAACATGATAAACTAACATATTTTCATAGGAGACTTGAATAAAAAAAGTTCGTTTTTTTTGGGCAACCCTAATAAACATACTATTTATTGTGTGTGGTATGGTATTAAAAAAAAATAATCTAATCCAAAGGAATATTATATACTTCATCAATAGAGTTAATACAGCCCAGTGGGCATTAACAGGACACCAACAGAAAGGAAAGATAAGAGTTCAGAACGTGACAATATTTGAGACCAACCAGAAGACAGGGAGAGAAGAAAGAAGATAAGTATAATTGGTGCCATATGTAGAACCCTGCTTGACCGAGGTAGGAAACGTCTGGTGTGGACATTTGCTCAGCGTCTCCATATCAATAGGTTTATTTTAGAACCCGAAAAAGTCCTTTTATTTATATTTTTTAGGTCAGAATCAAGGTTACGGACAGAACCAAGGTCATAACTATAACGGATACAACACTAATATCCCTAATGTAATAGCTTATGGATCATATGACCATAGCAATCAAGATCAAGGATCTCAGTACCAAAGTAACAGTCAAGGTCAAAGCCAAGGAAACAACGGTCAAGGTGGATCGTACCAAAATCCAGGAGGTTACTATCGGATTCAAAGTCAACAATACGGTTATAATGGTGTACATGGAACAAATAGTTACGGACGTTTTTAAAGGAAGGCTCTGTTTTTTACGTCTCTGAAATAGGTAGATTGTTAATAGACCAAATCATTCTGTTAAGATAAATGAATATTTATGTATATAAAACAAAATGTATTTAATAAATTATTTCCTGCACAGTTAGTTTATTCCGTTTGTTCCAATATTCAGTAGCTTTCAGACTAGTGATTGAAAGATTTACAATGTGTCCCACTTAGAGCAGAGGTATTTCTTAAACTGTTGAATACGGATAAAGTTGATAAAATTAGAAAGTATACAGATAACGCTTGAAAGAATATTTTGAATTATATGTATAACTTTATTTTCTTAATAGTTATTAAAATGTATTTTAAGTTTCCTTTCGTTTAGACACAATCAATTATTGTACATACATATTGGATGTCCTTAAAACAGTATAATTTAAAAAATAATATAATGAAAATATAGCTTTGGTAATTATTTTGGAGTAGTTTTACGAATAATCAACAAGTGATACAATCTAAATAAATAAAATTGTATGCACTCAAAAATAGTAATCTTGGTTGTTTTAAAAAAAAAACAATGGTTTCCCATAAAATGATAAAAATCTAGAAACATGTACTTTTGAAGGATGTTTTGGGGTACTTTTTAATAAAGGATATCTGGGTCCTTACCCTTATCCTACATTAATTCTTAGTCTAATAATAAAAGCTTTCTGAGCAAAGACCAAATTTGAACACGCACGGTAAGTCACACTGTACTATTCATACCTACTATGGAGATCACAAATGTCAAACGTTCATATATACTGGCTTCAAACAAAGCCCATGTTTTACGGTGCTCGTTACTTATCTATTAGGCATTCCAAACTGAATGGCTACCAGTGGGTTTTGACCACTGATCTGTATTACACAGATCAGTGGTTTTGACGGGTTATGATATGGCAAAATTATGGCAACCCTGTAGGCCTGGTGATTTGACAAGGTCAATGAAGTAGATAGTTACATAGATTGATCATCCATATTTTTCAAAATAAACATAAGCTTATGCCTTGAAGTAAAAATGTAAGCAACTATTTTTTTTTAAATATCTAAAGGCTAAAAATTGGTTTTAAAACACATTTTGGCTAAACCGATTCAAATTAATAAATATTTGCCAGGTAATATGGCCGCTCGTAAACGACCAGCTTTGAGCAATCTATATAACTATATATGTATCATTGACCCTGTTAATGACAACATGACAACAGCGTTGCCATATCTAAACTGTCATTACCCACTGGTAGCCATTTGGACAGGTCGTTGGAATGCCTAATATTTCATTTGTTTATCTAAGGTTATTAGGCATTCCAACAAATTGTCAAAATGCTGACAAGTGGGAACTGACAGTTTAGATATGACAACACTGTGGGCCTGTTGTCATTTACAGGGTCACTGATACATACATAGTTATATAGATTGTTCAAAGCGGGTCGTTTGCGAGCGGCCATATTGCCTCGCAAGTGCTCATAAATCAGAATCAGTTTAGCAAAAAAGGTGTTTACAAACCAATTTTTAGCCTTTGAATATAGTAAAAAAATAAATACCTACATTTTCACTTTGAGGCATAAGCTTATGTCTATTTTGAAAAACATTGATGATCAATCTATATAACTATCTATTTCATTGACCCTGTCAAATCACCAAACCTACAAACAGGGTTGCTATATCATAACCTGTCATAACCCACTGGTAGACATTTTGTTTGGAATACTTAATACGACTCGTATCTCTGTTTTTGTCGGTGATGGCCTTAGATTATACAAACCTTAGATGGAACATAAGACACTGCGCATAATCCCATTTCAAAATGATTCACACCCACCAATCACAGTTGAGAACATTACATGTCAGACCGTTGTCCATTCAAATTTAATGTGTCAACGAGAATTAATTTGGTATTTTAGTGACTTAAATTTTGGAAATTAACGTTGAAAATGCCAAGATGTGTTGTAAAAAGCTTTATTTAGCCAAGGGAAACCTAAACTTAATCACACACCAAGCTTTATTTATAATAAACCTGCGAAATGTGACGGAGATAAAAGAAACTTATATTTATTTCGGTGAGATATTTAATTTTTAAAGATTCTGTCGACGTCCATATTTGTTGATTTGAAAATAAACAGAATCGGACTTGGTCATTGATACATGTTATAAGTAGCAAATAAAGGTTATTATTATAAACTGTTTACTATTTCTTGTTTCATAGGGAATCTTTTTTTTAGGAAGTGAAAAGAGAAACATACAATCAAATACAAAAATATCAATTTCATTGCCAATTTATTCGTTTCAAACTTCACAACTGGTTTCAATAGTTTTCTCAAAACTATTTATTTAGTAATTCTCTATAATAGTGTTACTTTAAGTGTAAAGTCAAAGTTTCCGCGAAGAAAATAATCACAATAAAAAAAAAACAGTACTATCGCCACAAAATGGAGGGACCTGGCTTGAGGACCGTTTTTTGGGAAGTAATTTTTTTAAGTCACTAACAGGAAGGAGGATATGATTTTGCTTTAGGACTTTTTTTTATTTAATTTTTTATGGGTGAAATAGATTTGGGATAATTTTTGCAAGGAATCTTTGGAATAAATCAAAAATAAATGATGCTCTTGTGCATTTTCAGCCGATTAAATTATTCGTAGATGCATCAAATGTGGGAATAAGGGCCATGATATGTCATGTTTTTGAAAAAAAAAAAAAAAAAAATATTGAGAAATCTATAGTTTCTGCTTCGCGTACCTTATCAAAGTCCGAACAAAAATATTCCCAAATTGAAAGAGAGATCCTTGCAATAATTTTTGGCTTAAATAAATTTAATGAATATTTATATGGACATTTGCATAAAGTAGAACATTATGCAACTGATTACGAAAAGTTGATTATGTCACCAGTTACGAAATGAAAATAAATAAAACTGCCTCGTTTTTGGTTTCTAAGTTGAAAAATCGTAAAATCGAGAAATTGAGATACCGAGAAATCGAAAAATCGAGTAATCGAAAAATCTAAAAATAAAAAATTGAAAAATCCAAAAATCCAAAAAACGAAAAATCGAAAAAACCAAATATCGAAAAAGAGACAATGAATAGTGACATTTCACATTTGAAAATATGACATTACGTTTAAAAACAAAAAAAGAGAAGCTGTAAATTGCGTTTAATTTTTAAAATAACACCGTTATTGAAAACTGCCCAGAAATGTTGGGGGTAAAATTTTGACGTACTTCTTTAAGGATAATGGGTAAAAATGTTTTTTTTTTCAAATTTCTCGCGGGTAATGTCAAAAATTGGATCGGCAACACTGCACATGTCCCTTATTTTTATTATTACTATTGAAAAAAAAAAAAACGTCGTAGGGCAATCAAATACAACAATTTTCTAAAATATTTGATTGGAAGTACCTACACAAGAATGATGGTGAATAATTTTTCAACACAATTTTATAAATATTCACGTCAAAATTAGAAAAAATCTTGTATATAAACACGTTACGAAATGCCGTTTTGTGTAAGTCGTTCATGTTGCGGGAACTCGCTCCGCTCGTTTTGCAAATATTTACTCGTTACACAAAATAAGGCATTTCGTAACTGGTTACATAAATAACTATTAATTGACTTTCTAATATTTTAATTCATTGGACGGTATTTTCCGTAAATAATTAAATCATAAATAATTACCAGGATATAAGTACCAAAACATTTTTTTCTCTTAGAACAGTAGGCCTATGTCAAATAAACTTAAAATATTATAACGAACGAAAAGGTAACCCATTTCTAATAAAATTTAGTTATTTATTTTATTTTGGTGTGATCGTAGAAAAAATCTTTTGTGTAATTCGAGCAAAAAGTACTTATAAACTTTTACTTAGGGTCGATTTTACCGTTTTATTAAACGAAGTTTAAAATACTAAACGAAGATTAAAATGACATTTTTATATTAACAAAAACGAAGTTTAAATTACTAAATGGTGTTTAAAATGACATTTTTATATTAACAATGTCATTTTAATCTTCGTTTAAAAAATTTAAACTTCGTTTGACACAAAGGTGGAATCGGCCCTTAGCTAGTTATATATTGATAAAGTGTTATTGCCCTCATCATACAAGAATCGTGCTAACAAATAAAGTCAAACAAACGTCTCATAATTTTTCATCTTTTAATTACCCATCAAAATTAGGTACTACAATACAAATATTTAAGTCCGGCCCAGAACACCTCCCTACTCCTTCCACCCAGTTTTTCGGTTTTGGCAAAATTCGCGCAGCGAGAAATGCTTCCTATGTTACCTCTACCCTTTCTAACCTCTTTGGTGATGGCCAACTTTAGAAACATTTTTTGTGGATCACTCTTTATAATAGTGGCAAAATTAGTTTTTTTAATTTTTAATCTAGTAAGCTGTTGTATCCTCCCGATTGATGTTGCGTTGGTAACGAACATTATAGTAATCAGTTAAATGCAATAAATGTCACGATAGTTGTCTACGCAGTGCCAGTTTGGGTTGGTTTGGATTTAATTTAGAGCGTTGACCTTTTGGATGCTATTATTGACACTTCATAGTTTTTTTATAAATGATAAATATATAAACTAGGTAAAACTGTATTTATTTATATTTCCATGACCCATTAAAATCCATGAGTGAATCCTAATGCTATTGGATTTAGCAGTCTTGAGTTAATTATAGATTTTTTACTACAGCGTGTTGAGTCTATTAGTAAATAAAAACAAACTATTTTTAAAATACATATATTACAAAAAGCGATTACTTAAATTCTAAATCCATTTTTTTATCTTCCCAATCCGTGTCCAATTCCTAAACCAAGACCTAACGGGGAGACTCCAATAAGTCCAGGTACACCGACTATTCCTGGGGCAACTGCGGCACTCACTACTCCTCCGGCAATTGGAGCTGCTGCGACGGCTCCAGCTTGGGCGGCTGCAGTGATGGCACTACCATCGGGTCCAAGGACTGCAGCATGGGCTGCGGGTCCTTGAATAAGAGCACCAGGATTTGCGGGACCGACTAAGGTAACGGCTCCTCCTAATCCCAAGACAGATGCTTGGGCGTAGGTGAAAGTGGCAACAAGGAGGATTAAGACCTGAAAAATGGTTGGAAAATTAAAAATGAAAATGAGTAAACTACAAAAATAAATAATTAATTTTTTTAGGCATCATGTCAAATTTTAATTTTTAAATTCGTTTTTCGTACCTCCAACATTCGTTCTAATATTTTCCATTATAATTTACATGTATGTTTTAGGTTTTAGTGTTTCTACATTTTTCAAATTAATTCTTAAATAGGCATAGACATTTGTAATTAATTTTGTAAATACAACTTTAAGGTTCTTTGTAAGATCCTTTGCACCATGTTTCAAATTGTTTGTAAGTAAAGAATAATGTAAAAAGTGCAAGACGTCTGTGGTATTTACAAATAGTTGAAAGAATAAAATAAAAACACAAAATCTGTACCACATATAATTTAATGCACTTTAGTAGTTAAAGCGATTTGTTTCGGCCATCTTGGTTATCATCAATTAAAAGTTCCAAACATGGATGACTTCATCAGAGAAGTGATGTAATAATTGCTTGACATATCTGTGTAATTGGATGCTATCCAATATTCGCCCCAGTAGGTACTACTTGAAAAGTTGTTCTTTAGAAAGCAGCTAACTCTTCGATAAATAATAGGATGATTTTGAAAAATTGGGAACTGCGATAAAAGGTGCAGTTCACAATGAGGGACTTTAAGTGAGATATGCTACAATTAATTGTTAAATAATAAAAATTATTATTGTTGAAATGGTTAGAAAGAAAACATAATAATAGTAAAGAAATACATGAGGTAAATTCATATTGCAAGAATAGAAAGAATAGTGAGGTTTAAATTTTAGATCATAGTCCAAAAAGGGGAGAAAGTGACCTTGGAACTCAACGTTAAAAAAATCGACAATTGTTATCGAAAAATAAAATACCTACCAAAAAGTGTTTAAATTAGATCTCTTTTCCGCCAAAAATTAAAATATATTGTCTGAAACCATTTATTATTACAAATTTTATTTTTATAAACGTTTCATTTGCTATATTGGGCTTATTATACTCTTCACACAGTAGTCTGTAAGGAGTATTATGCATTCGCTTCGTTCGTCCGTCCGGATGTCACGTTTTTTGTCTGCACGATAAGTTAAAACCGGAAAACGATAAGAATTTCAGGAAAATTTCAGGAAAAGTCAAGCTCCATAAAGGGACGAAGCCTATTGATTTTGAAAAAATCTGAATAAAAATGGGGGTTAAGGGGGGTTGAAACATTAAAAAAATTCCTAACTCAAAAACGAAAATGGTATCAACTTGAAATTTTTAACAAAAATCAAGATGTTTAAGGAGACAAAGCCTTCTGATTTTGAAAAAAAAAATTGATTAAAAATGTTAAAGGAGGTTGAAATTTAAAAAATCATAACTCAAAACAACGAAAAGCGATATTGACATGACATTTTTAGTAAACATCAAGCTGTATAGGAAGATGAAGCCTATTGATTCTGAAAAAATCGGAATAAAAATGGGGGTTAAGGGAAGGTTAAAATATTAAAAAAATCCTAGCTTGAAAACAAAAAATATTATCATCTTGAAATTTTTACAAAAATCAAGCTCTATAAGTGAAGAATCCCAATGAATTTGAAAAAAAAAAGTCTGAATAAAATGGTGGTTGAAGGGTGGATAAAATAAAAAAAAAATAGAAATAAAAAACCAAAAGCGACATCAACATTAAATTTTTAGCCAAAATCAGCAGATGAACTTTTGAAAACACTGAACAATCAAGGACTGTACGCCAAAGGATATGCCGATGACATAGTCATCCTTATCCCAGGAAACCACCAAATCACAGACTTCGAACTCATGCAAAGAGCTGTTAGGCTGACAGAAATGTGGTGCGTTAGGCTTGGTAAACCCTGACAAGGCACAACTCATAACCTTTACTCGGAAAACAAGGTTGGAGGTCTTAGAAACTCCGACTTTCTTTGGAGGAAGGCTAAACAAAATGAACCAAGTAAAATATCTGGGTCTCATCCTAGATAGCAAACTTACTTGGAACCAACACTTACAAAAACTGACCAACAAATGTAAAATGTCTCTCATTGTAGGGCTACGGGTATTTGGAAAAACATGGGGAATGGGGATTGAAACCAAAAATGATCCACTGGTTATATTTGGCAATAACACGACCCATGATAACTTATGGAGCGGTTATGTGGTGGCCAAAAGCAAACCAGAAAACAGCCCTCAATACCCTCTCAGGAGTTCAGAGGCTGGCATGCCTTTGTATTATAGGAGCATTGAGCAGTACACAGAGAGCCTCTATGGAAATCATTCTAAACCTCCCACCCCTTGACCTAGTCATAAAGGGGGAGGCCAGAATGAGTGCATACAGACTGGAAATCTCCAACAAAGTTAAAGATAAAAATAAATCCTATGGATTCTTAAAATATTATATAATTATAATTTGAATAAAAATGAGAGGATAAAGGGGATTGAAATATTTAAAAAAAAACCTATAAACTTAAAAAGGATAAATGAAATGAACTTGAAACTTTTTAGCAAAAATCAAGCTCTATAAGGAGACAAAGCCTATTGACTCAGAAACAAGAAACGGTATCAAATTGAAATCTTCAGGAAAAAACAAGCTTTATACGGGGATGACGCCTATTGATTCTAAAAAAAATCTGTGAAGAGTATAATATAGAATGACAAGCATTCTAGTTTTTAAAATTAATGGCCAATTTTGAAATACTTTTTATAAATACTAAAATATTTCTGTTTTTATAATTTTAATTTATTTATTGGAAACTTCCATGTCAGCCTTACATGGGTGTCGTCAGAATTTTTCCCACGGAAGGGTAAAAGTGCACATTTGTGAACCTAAGCTTAAAAAAATATTGCGTTATTTAGTTTAATAGAATCCTAATAACTATTTTAATTTCCCGATGGGAAAATGGTACTCAAATTGGCCATTTTTTTAAAAGGTCGGTCCGTTCTTTACAATTATATTTTTCAAGAATAATACTTTACTGTTATTAAACAATATTTCCAAGATAACCTATGTTGTAAATTATTATTAGTTACATGGCGGATAACAAATGGCCTAAAATGGAATAATGAAATTTTAATTTTTACTTTGGTATGAGAATTTTCTTCAAATTTATATCACCAAGCAAAACAGTAGTTTGTGCAACAAGGGTGGATATGATGGAAATATACCGCACGAAGACGAAGTTTGAGCACGACGATGTAGGCGGAGTGCTCAATCGTCTGAGTTCGATGCGGACAATCTATTCGAGGTGTACAGTATAATTTTTCTACGACCCACTAACAAAAATTTACAAATTTTAAAAATTATTTTGGGTTAAGACAAAATAGCTAAAATAAAAATAATTTATGGCTTTATAAAATAAACTTGAAAAAAAAGTTTAATTTAATTAGCCTCAAATCCTAGATTTAAATCCGGAACTCCTCTCAGCTCCATCGCCACACCTAACATTTTGGTTTTAATTAAATTGATTTCATATAGATTTATAAAAATTTATGATTTACTTGTAAATATAGACTAAATAAAAATAGAATATCAAGAATAACTCATTTTAATGTATATTTAATCTCGATAACTGAAACATATACTGACAATTAGTTTGACAGAATTGTCACTTAGATAAAATCCTATAAAGTCTAGAAAATTAAACCGACACTTTGTGTCTTTTTGCATCATATTATAATAAACAAACACGCATTTTTTTTAAGATTGTTGAGATGAATTAAGCCTATAATTAGCACTTTATATAAAAAATTAGTTATTTAATGGGTCAGAAATTTTAACCGAGTACCATTTCTCCATATGTAAAGAGCGGCGTCATTCCTCGGGAAAGACCCCTCTCCAATAGCTCCAATAGCTCCTTTTCACAATAATATATTTAAAAAAATATTTAAGGATTCTTTAAGAAAAATTATTAAAAACATGTAAGTATCATATTGACTTATTGGGATTTTAGTTATGGATAATCTGATATTTGATATTCAAGATTATAAAAAGTACTATTTGAACAACTTTAAAAACATACAGGCAAGTAGTTTTTTAAAATTTCATATCTAATTTCGAATTTATGAGCTATGCTAATATTTTCGTAGTAAAACTACCAATTTTCATAATTTGCTCTTTAATTATAAATTATATTTTAAGCTTACCAAAGAGTTCATTTTTGATGTATCTGGTTCACGTTTACAAACAAACTGAATAACTGTATCTCACTACCCTCAGTATTTATAACTGCTACCATTTTTGTAAAACACATAATATATTTTGTCTTATGTAGTACAAGCAAAAATTGCATTATGTATAGAATATGGGAGTGGTTGGAGGAATAGAAGAATTCTAAGAAACAAGCCTGTTTTTCATTACTATTATAGCAATCTATTAAACATTTTCTTTAAGATTTAAATTGTTTAAATATGAAGTGGTTATTCTGAAATTCAATACACATGCAGGAATAAGATTGTTGAATATTAATTAAGGTAAGGTTTTAGAATGCTTTTTCTTGTTTTTAATATTTTTAAATAGTACATCCTACATCTTCATATTTTTTAATTTATCTTAAAGACTGATTTTAAAAATATGTTTGTCGTTACTTGATAAATTCATTGATGTTCATTTCTGGTATCACGTTAACATTTTAACCTTGTAAACTACGATCCAAGGCGCATAATAATAAATTAAATATTGTTAGTGAAAAGTAAGTGAAAGAACAATTAATAGGTTTGAATATTCTGGTTGTTTGTCTTGGAAATAAATTAAAAACATTCGTGATTATTTGTTATTTCTTGTAATCAATGTCCTCTCAATTATTATAAAAACTAAAAAATGTTTTTGAGCAACTACAAAATTATAAAATATATTAAAATCCAAGTATTTTAAGATTAACTGATGATTTACCAAATCAAATGCCTTACTTTGATTTAATAATATTAAAACCGTACACTCAGATTTATCATAATTATTGTGTACATTAATATTTACTACTTTTAAAAGTGCAGTATTACAAATATATATTTTTTTCTTAAAGCTAATTGCAATGTGGCTAGGATTAGTTGGTCATCTAAAAATTTAGTAACTTGAGAAGCAATATTTTATCAAAAATTTTAATAAATGGCTACCGAAATGATATGGGCATCAAATCATTATATTCACTAGAATTTGGAATAACTCCCAGACTCAATAAATAGATAAATAATTCAGTAACTATTTCTACACAGTATGGCATAACCATAGTTAACATAGAGTTATATTTATGTTATCAGGTAGGGTCAACCGGGGCTAATGTGATACAAAAATCAATAAATTTGCAAGAAAAACTGTTTTTTTTTTTAAATTTAGGTAAAATAAAACATCGTATGCTGTACAGAATTGCATTCCCTTTAGTTTTCTACTACTAAAACTTTTTTAAAGCTAATGGACAAACTTAAAAAAAAGCTGTGTATCATAATTGCCCCTCCGTTGGGGCTATTATTGATACAGAGCGGGGCTAATCTGATACAGTGCTTTAACTTCATTCTAGTAAGTGTTTTTAATTCAACGGGGTTATTGTGATACACTGCAGTCCTTTATCAAATTCCCATATAAATTTGGTTTTGATATGACTAGCGGTTTTAAAGATACGGGAGTTTAAGTAAAGCGTTTATAAAAAAGGCAGAAATATATTACAGCAATAAAATATTGTATGAAAGGTAAGGTAAGGTAAGATATTGGTGAAAACATAGAAAAATACAAACATCATTAGAACATATTTTTATAAGGCATAAACATCAAATAGTATGAAAAACTAAAAATACATCATTAAATTGTCTTTTATATTCTAGATAAAAGAAAAAATGAAAATATTACACTAAATTGCCTCATATATTGGGACTAACTTATCAAACATAAATTTTTCTCTGTTCCTAGATAAAATGCAGTTGGGGAGGAGGTAATTTTGCAATAATATCTTCGGAATCGATGAAGCATATGTCATTTTCTTTCTTTATACAGGTCTTTTTGTCCATATCCGACCTTCACTTCGATATCGTTCTCTACGATTTGTGTTACCTGCACCACATATTTGTAGTTGACTGAATTTCTCAGACCCCCTTTAAACGTTGCAATTAAAAAGTCCCCCACTTGTATGTCGTCAGGTCTTAGCAATTCTACATAATCCTCGAATTGAGACTCAAAGAAATCTACATCCATATCACTGTCGCTATCTATAATTTTCTCTTAAATCTCCTCTTTATCAGAACTTGAGTCGCTGTCAATTGTCTGGTCAGGTGTTACTAATTTTGAATTCTGCTTAGTCTATCTTTTCTTCTTCAGGCTGTGAAACACTTCCTTTGTTAGGTGTAGCCTCGGGTGTAGCCCTCGCCTTTTTAACTATTTTTTTCCACTTATTGCACCTGATTTATTTTTATTCGCTTCAGCCTTTTCCTTTATTTCCTCTGCATACTCTTTAGATGTAATAACTTTGGCCAAAGGATCAATATTTCTTCTTCTCGCTTTATTAGGGTCTGTTTTATCTTTAAAAAGGTCTATAATTACGCTTTGAAAGGATCTTGTAGGTGTCGAAGTACCAGATGTGGTTGGGGAACCTGTAGCAAGCTCAACTGATAGTTTAGGAAATTGTATTGCAGGGTCTGTCGATGCTTTTGACGTAGTCGGTTCATTTAACTAGTCTTCTTCGATGATACCGTCCTCAGAGGTATGATGGGGATTGGCGATAGGAGCATCCTTGTTCTGTTTATACCTTTCGTATTTTTCAGGAATAAATCTAGATGTCGGGTATTTTGTCGTATCTAGCGGATATATTCCGATTGACCGAAAACCTGAAATTATGTTTTCAGGCGTCAAACCATTGGGCCAGACTTCACAGAGCAAATTAACGAATTCTTGTTTCTGCATTTTTCTATGGTTCTTTCGATACCTATTAAAGCAAGATCCCATTTGTATTTTAGAGATCTAAAACAACATTTGTCTAGAGGTTGAAATAGATCTGTTGTGTGCGCCGGAAGTTTAATGATATTTATATTTTCTTCACGTGCATGCTGAATTGTGGTCTGGTCGAGATGAGCCATGTGACCATCAAACAGTAAAAGTACCGGTCTCTCCTTAACTTTCTTACAAAACTGCTTGAAACAGTTCTGGAAGATCACTGACGTCATCCACCCGTTCTCGGAACATGAATAAAATGTACCAGGAAGGTCTTTATTTCCTTTCCACGTAGTCCAGAGATTTGCTGACTGAAATATTATCAGCGGGGGTAAGGCAGTTCCGTTCGCTGATACACACGCGAGAACAGTAGTGTTTCCACTACTTTCTAAGTGCCGATGAGCTTTCTGTCCTATTTTAGAAAGACCCTTGATGCGGGACGGATCCGCACAAAAACTGGTTCCATCTAAATTGTAAATACAGGCAGGTCGGCCATGCACATTAAGGGAATTTAGGTTGTTCAACCAAATCGTAAAAATTGTAAATAACGAATGGGTCCCCAGTGGCAATTCTTCTTGATTTTTCAAGTGGTTCCAACCTTTTCAGACTTAGCCGATTTCTCACACAGAAGAGTTTAAACCAATCAGGTCCAGGCAGGTTGTTTTTAAAAGGCACTTTAATATCGTTTTTTCTACTTAATTTTTAACGACTTGCATTCATTCTACTCTACCGATGGCAAATCCCCAATGAGCCAATGTTTTAATGTGTTCTGTAAGTTGAGTTTCTTCTTCTGCAGAAAATACAGTGGGATGACCAGGTTTTTTTTCGGTTACAGGGGTTTGCACCATATCTTCATCTGTTAATTCTTCACCAACTGCTTCTCTTCTTTGCTCTGTTTTTTCTTTCTTAGCTTTATATTTGTATAAATACATTTTCTCTATCTTCAAATCTCGAGCCACACTTCTATTCGTAGCGTCTCTCCGGCTTTAATTCTTTCAAGTGGTGTTGCTAAAGTTTCTTCAGGGTATTGTTTTCGCACACCTTTAGGTTTATAACTTCGAACCATCTTAAAAACGTGGACTTGAAAATGGATGTTGTAATAATCGCTTAGATGCACCTGAAACAACGAGAAATCGGTATTGTACTAGAGCATATTCATTCCCGAAAAAAAATTCAGTCAAATCTAAAAAAGATTGGTTACATCGTGTTTTTAATGGGGATGAATATGGTAGGTTAGGTTGTATCCAAACCAATGTTTGTATCACAATAGCCCCATATTCTGTATCTAAATAGCCCCAAGTTGTGTATCATAATAGCCCCTTAACGAGCTAAAATAGCTATTATAGCTTATGGTTAGGCTAACCAATTTTAGAGCAAAATACAGCTTAAGACTTATATTTTTAGGTTCTGTAACAAAACGGATGTAATATAACCATATAAATCAACGCTAAGTAAAGTTCACCCAGGTTACAAAAATTTTTGATGGAATAAAAAAAGCACTATTTTTTCCATATTTTTTAAGATTTTTTTTTCAAAATTTTAGCAAAAACAAATATGACGTCAGTGTTATAATGCTTCTTGTAATCTACTGGATTTTCATGCAGGATATTATACCCAAAACACGTGTTTGTTTGGTGTATCACAATAGCCCCGAATATTTGAGTGTATCACAATAGCCTCGATTGACCCTACATGCGTATTACATGAAATATTTTTTATTGCGGGTTGTACAAAAAATATTGTAAACTCTGTTAACAAACAGGAGTATAATTTTTAACTGATTATATTCAAAATTAAAATATAATTTTTAAAACTATGTTTAACAATAACCGATGATTATACAATTATGTTCATAGTTTAAACTAAGATTATATTTTAATAGCCTATTAAACAACCCGTCCTTATACTTTTATAGATATCCCTATCTATGATTGCATTAAAGTTAAAAATAGGTACTGTCAGATAAGCATATATAGGGTCCCATTAGTGCACAATTGTTTAATATTTCAATTTGTGACGAAAGATTATCCATATTCTCAAATGTGGTCGAGTTATTCAAACGAATCATACACAAAATCTGTACCACATAAACAACTTTATTCAATTTTTTGATTAAGCGACTAGTTTCGGCCAACTGGCCATCTTCAGGCATTCATATATAAAATTATCTTCTACACCAGATTATTGACATTGGACAGAATGAGTTACAAGATTAATTAAAAGTATAGATGAAGATTATGTGGTAAACATAAGTAAAAAATAAATGTTATAAAGGTTTAAATATTGAAAATTAGGAATTAATTAACAAGTAATCACCGGTAAGGTGATCAGAAATG